TTCTTCATTACCCATTCAAGCCGTCTCCAGCCATTATTAGTCTCAAAGTGGGTTCCTCGTCATCGAATTTGAAGACATAGATTAAACAAAAAAGTATAATATGCTTAGGAAAAGCCTTTCATTAAATACTACGTAAACAGACATCAGATTTTGAGGAAATACTTGTCATTAAATAAAAGGTGAATAAAAAAAGCTTTCTGACCTTGAGGAAATACCTGTCATTATTTACATTGTGAGTAAACGGACTTTCAGATATTAGGTAAATTATTACACTTCAACATTTCTACTTATAGACCTTAGTTTTTGTTGTGAAATATTTTGGTTATTCATTGAAAAATAGGATCTGAAAAAAATTTGCTTAGAAATCTTTAGCTATGTAATGTTGAAGGTCTGGAAATGAAAATTAATTATTATAGTTATTCTAAGTCAGATTATATACAAGATATGACAAGAAAGAACCAACGTTGAGTTAATGATTTAGATAGGCAGTAAAAGTTTAAATTAAAAAACATATCATTAATCTTTTCTTCAGGAACTCCCAAACTCTCAAACTGTAGAAGAAGAATTCACAAAAGTTCCGTGGACAAACATGTTGAATGACCTAGAAATCAGTGAAAGTGACCCTAATAGTATCCTAAACTTTAACATTAGTTGGATAGTACGAAAGGTAGGCTAGACTGTAAATTTTTATCTCATTGTTGAGATTCTCTCATCATTATTTATTACCTATTATTGTGTTTCAAAGTCATTAACCTGTAGCATTTCTCATTCAGAAACACAAGAAAAAATTTATACCTAAAACATCAAAGTGTGTTCTATCTTCTTCACGTGTTTGTGTATAGTTGTAATGCTTGGTGAAAGATAAGTAGTTTTAGAGTTTTAAACATGTTCTATAGGATATAACACCAGTTAATGCTTGGTGAAAGATAAGTAGTTTAAAACTCTAAAACTACTTATCTTTCACCAAGCATTAACTGGTGTTATATCCTATAGAACTTGTTTAAAAAACTAAAACATGTTCTATAGGATATAACACCAGTTAATGCTTGGTGAAAGATCAATAGGTTTATTACTCGTACATGTAAAGTAAAGTAAAGTCAAGATAGATTTGTTTTGATAGATGGATGGTATTGTTGAGAGCGAGTGTTCACCTAAACTACAAAGTATGATATTCCTCTTCATTCAAATTTCCAGGCACGAACAAAGCAACTCCCGAACGGCAAGGTTCCAGTTTTAGTAGTACTTATAAAAGAAATCGATGTAAAAGGAGCAGAAGCTAGCGTCACATTTCGAGACAGAACAGGTTTGTATTTTAATAGAATTACATTTGAGCTAATAGAAGATAACAGAAACTCGTACCGTGATGACCAGCTGTAACCGCAGACACGTGAGGAAAGCATAAGTGGTAAATTTAACTGGGAAAACTGAATAACCTTAACTTTCTTGATAGAGTATAAAGGCTTAGGAATCTGAAACATACACTATTATTTATCTCCAAGATTCAGTCTCCAAGGATAAATGAAGAATTGTAAACATTCATTGTTATACACCAGTAAAAAAACATCAAGTCTTAATAATTAACAAAAAATATAATCACCATTATTTGTAAACATTCATTGTTATACAATAGTAAAAAAACATCAAGTCTTAATAATTAACAAAAAATATAATCACCATTATATAAATATTGTATTATATTTTTATGAACTTTGATGTATTTGACATATTTCTGGGTGTTTTACTGATTATTGGTTTAACGATCAAAATCTGGTGTCAATCAGAATCAGTAGAATTTGTCAAATTTCCCATTCATGGTAAACCGATTGCCTAGTGATTAAAAATAACTCCACCCAAAACAATTTATTCAAAACAACAATCTCCTGATTTGTAAGTATGCTTCCAATCACAACCCTGTACTTTTTCCTTTTTTGTTTGACACAAAACACGAAACATTATTCTCCATGTAATAAAATATCATCAGTTAAACAATCTCTTTCTCTGTTCCTCATTTATGTAAATAAGTTGATACACTGAACTAAAGAAAGGTTAAAAATAATGCTCCTCACATCACACCCATTTCTTTACAGATTGTGCTTTAGCAAACAGTCGAGAACAGCACCCTATGCACAAAGCTAATACACACCGTGTGCTTGTCAGAGATCTGTGCAGACTTTTCTCGCAAAGTTCTCAGGATGATATGACATGTGGTTCTCTGTTAGTACCATACTGTGTTTCAGCTCATTGTTTGGGGAGTTTGACAAAGAATGCATGAAAACAGAGTGATTGGAAATTTGGAATGTCCCATTACCTTCCAGTAGGAGGGTTTTGTCAAGTGTTTGAATTGTGCATGTCAGTGTCGGAGACGTCACTATAAGTTGAAAGTGGTAAACAGGTATATACAAATATTTAAAAAATAACTAACCTGTAGGACAGCTATGGAACATTCCATTTCACCATCTGAAGGTTCTGCTATTTATTAATATGCAGAGTTCCAATAAGTTGAAAGTGGTAAACAGGTATATACAAATATTTAAAAAATAACTAACCTGTTAGGACAGCTATGGAACATTACATTTCACCATCTGAAGGTTCTGCTATTTATTAATATGCAGAGTTCCAAGAATTTATCTTAAAGTTACTTGTGGCTTGACAAACATGATACTGATTGGTTGAATTGCTTCTAAGTGAGAAAAATTAGATATTTTAGGTTTTTCAAGTAGGAAGCAAATGGTTGAAAAACATGAATCATGAAGGCAGGCAACATAAAGTTATCTATCAATCTTTTACTAGCCATAAGGTCAGTCCACATTTTTATATTTCATTCGTTCAAATAAAAAAAACGGATAAGAGATTGTATTGATAACTTCAACCATTTCAAATTTAATGAAACTTCAGAAGTACATTCTCTATAGCCAACAATACTACACAATGACATCATCAACTTTACTGTACATAATTAGAATAATTCAGTCCGACTGTGCGCTATAATAATCGGCAATTGGTTATTTCTGATTGTAACATGATCGGTAAAACAATAATTTTGATAATTTTGGATGTTTTTGTTGTAAGTTTCTGGATGGTTTTGCTTTTGTTATATCTTTTTTTATTTTTTTTTCTATTTTACTGGACATTTTTTTTCTATTTTTTAGATGTTCTTGTTATGTTTGTATTTGCTTCCTTTGTCATATATACTTCTGTACATTAATTTTATAGAAGTCTGGAATTTTTGTAGTGTATTTCTGGATGATTTTTCTTATACTTATTAATGTCTAAATTCTCAATTGTTTGGAGAATGCATATGATTAAACACTGATCAAGTGCAACCCAAAGGTTCTTTATCATATTTGAAGTAAGACATTTTAAGACATAAACAGTGATGTTTCTCTTAACTAAACTTTTATTTAGTGGGAGACATAATTAATGATAGTATTTAACTGACTCTCAATTTTCAGGAGAAATTCAAGGAACCATCCACAGAAAGCTAGTGGAAGAATATCAAATGTACCTTAAGCCTGGATGTGTACTGGTATTAAAGCAGGTGAGTCAGTCATTTTAAAAGAAGTTCCTATGTACTTTCAACCTGGATGTGTACTGGTATTAAAGCAGGTGAGTCAGTCATTTTAAACGACGTTCATATGTACCTTCAACCAGGATGTGTGCTGGTATTAAAGCAGGTGAGTCAGTGATTTTAAAAGAAGTTCATATGTACTTTCAACCTGGATGTGTACTGGTATTATAGCAGGTGAGTCAGTCATTTTAAAAGACGTTCACGTGTACCTTCAACCTGGATGTGTACTGGTATTAAAGCAGGTGAGTCAGTCATTTTAAAAGAAGTTCATATGTGCTTTCAACCTGGATGTGTACTGGTATTATAGCAGGTGAGTCAGTAATTTTAAAAGAAGTTCCTATGTACTTTCAACCAGGACGTGTGCTGGTATTAAAGCAGGTGAGTCAGCCATTTTAAAAGAAGTTCACATGTACCTTCAACCAGGATGTGTACTGGTATTAAAGCAGGTGAGTCAGTCATTTTAAAAGAAGTTCATATGTGCTTTCAACCTGGATGTGTACTGGTATTAAAGCAGGTGAGTCAGTCATTTTAAAAGAAGTTCACATGTACCTTCAACCAGGATGTGTACTGGTATTAAAGCAGGTGAGTCAGTCATTTTAAAAGAAGTTCATATGTGCTTTCAACCTGGAT